ACGCTGCTTGGTCCTTGTTTGGTGGGATCTTCTGTCACGTTCGTTTAAGGACGGGTCAGACCAAGGCGCAGCGTGACATGCGTACATGTTTATTGAACTTAATAAACACACGACAAAACAACAAAGGAAAGTCCAAGGTAGCACACACAACATACCTTAACCAGAACAAGATCCCACAACATGACAGTGCCAATAGGCTGCCTAAGTATGGCCCCCACTCAGAGACAATGAGCAACAGCTGCCTCTGATTGGGAACCACACCAGCCAACATAGAAATATACATACTAGAACGAGTGGCGCAGTGGTCTAAGGCACTGCATCGCAGTGCTAGCTGTGCCACTAGAGATCCTGGTTCGAATCCAGGCTCTGTCATAGCCGGCCGCGACCGGGAGACCCATGGGGCGGCGCACAATTGGCCCAGTGTCATCCAGAGTAGGGGAGGGAATGGCCGGCAGGGATGTAGCTCAGTTGGTAGAGCATGGCGTTTGCAACGCCAGGGTTGTGGGTTCGATTCCCACGGGGGGCCAGTATGAAAAATAAAAAAATAATGTATGCACTCACTAACTGTAAGTCGCTCTGGATAAGAGTGTCTGCTAAATGACTAAAATGTAAATGTAAATACTAGATCCCACACATAGAAAAAGCACAACAAGGAATATACACACCCTGACTCAACATATAAGCGTCCCCTGAGTCAGGGCGTGACAGACAGTGCAGTAATATCTAACAATTTCACAACATATACCCATATACTGTACATATATGGACAAGCAATGACTGAGCGGCATGGACTAAGATACAGAAGAATATTATAGAATAGAATGCAGTATATACATATGAGATGAGTAGATATGTAAACATTATTAAAGTGACTAGTGTTCCATTTCTTAAAGTGGCCAGTGATTTCAATAGGCAGCAGCAGCCTCTAATGTGCTAGTGATGGCTATTTAACAGTCTGATGGCCTTGAGATAGAAGCTGTTTTTCATTCTCTCGGTCCCAGCTTTGATGCACCTGTACTGACCTCGCCTTCTGGATAATAGCGGGGTGAACAGGCAGTGGCTCAGGTGGTTGATGTCCTTGATGATCTTTTTGGCCTTCCTGTGACATCGGGTACTGAATGTGTCTTGGAGGGCGGGTAGTTTGCCCCCTGTAATGCGTTCGGCAGACCGCACCACCCTCTGGAGAGCCCTGCGGTTGTGGCCGGTGCAGTTGCCGTACCAGGCGGTGATACAGCCCGACAGGATGCTCTCAATTGTGCATCTGTAAAAGTTTGTGAGGGTTTTAGGTGATAAGCCAAATTTCTTCAGCCTCCTGAGGTTGAAGAGGCTCTGTTGCGCCTTCTTCACCACACTGTCTGCGTGGGTGGACCATTTCAGTTTGTTGGTGATGTGTACGCCAAGGAACTTGAAGCTTTCCACCTTCTCCACTGCGGTCCCGTCGATGTGGATAGGGGGGTGCACCCTCTGCTGTTTCCTGAAGTCCACTATCATCTCCTTTGTTTTGTTGATGTTGAGTGAGAGGTTATTTTCCTGGCACCACACTCCCAGAGCCCTCACCTCCTCTCTGCAGGCGGTCTCGTCATTGTTGGTAATTAAGCCTACTACTGTTTTGTAGTCTGCAAACTTGATGATTGAGTTGGAGGCGTGCTTGGCCACGCAGTCATGGGTGAACAGGGAGTATAGGAGGGGGCTGAGCACGCACCCTTGTGGGGCCCCAGTGTTGAGGATCAGCGAAGTGGAGATGTTGTTTCCTACCTTCACCACCTGGTGGCGGCCCGTCAGGAAGTCCAGGACCCAGTTGCACAGGGCGGGGTTCAGACCCAGGGCCTCGAGTATAATGATGAGCTTGGAGGGTACTATGGTGTTGAATGCTGAGCTATAGTCAATGAATATAGCTCAGCATATATTATTCATATATTGTATTCAATCATTGTGCATCAATGAGTGTCTGCGAAGCCAAGCACTAAAACAGAACTTGGTTCTATTTGTGACGCTTGATGCGCTGCAAGTCCCGCCCATCTCCTTGGTTTTTAGGAGCATATACCCACGTGAGTGATTGAAAGATGAACTGAGGTCCACAATCCAGTCCAGTTGGTGGAGGTAATGCCCCTTAAAGTTGGTTGCCAACTGCCATATAAAGTCCAAAGAAGAAGAAGAAGCCTGAAGGAGGAGAGATTACTAGAAACAAACTCGGTTTACCCTTTTATCTGTGGATTAATTGTCGGAGTAGAGGACCTTGTCCTGATCGTGTCTGATGTGGGTGGACAAAATCAACATGCGCGCGATGCGCACACAGACGCACGCGCGCGAGCGGTGTGGTCAACATGTAACTTATCTAACCAACACAACGGTACACACCCATTTGGTAAGATGGGAGGTAAATTACATTGTGGGAATTGTAGTATGCTGCGGACCAGGGAGAGACAGGTGAAGAATCGTGAAGGATGACTGATAATAGCGATAAAACAAAATGTAGATAAAATCTTACTGAAAGCTTATGTTGATTGGTTTTGTTGTAATGGCTTGCTCCATTGGGTGGACTATCCCTTTAATATTACAAATTTAATTTGGTCTGTAATATCTTCCTCATTGCAAATACAGTATTTGATCATTCTCATTTTGTTATCATACTGTCCACCGATAAACAAATGTTTTCATTTACATACTATACTCTGGTGGATTTGAGTAGCAGCAATCTGATTTGTCAGTAAGAGGTGGACGGGTGCAGGACGTGAACAAGATAGATAAGTATAGCAGGGTTGATCTCTGAGTGTACCGAGGAGGCACGTATGACCATCACATGTGGCTGGCTACCCTCCCAGGGGGCAGTGGGGCCATGGAGTGACTGACCTCCTAAAGGTATTACACATCATCGCTGATGGTTAACCGCTCGCTGTGTAATCACGGCAGCAAGGACACTGTCTCTTGAACCTATTTTGTGTACTGTATTACTATTTAGATTTTTTGTAGCCATAAACTTGTTATTCGGCAACGACCATGGATGACACATCCCTGCAAACAAACCCAGGGTGGGATGTTTGAGTTTTGACATCTTGATTGGTCATCTTGATAGGATCAGATTATTGTAAGGTTAAGGTTAATTAGCTAAGGTTAATGGCATGGCAAATGGGTCTGTTTCTCTGCAAAATAACCCTCAGTAAGTTTTTTGGTTCAGATAAGCCTACAGTAAATTATGTAAGTAAGATAGTTTATCACTGTTAGGTTGTAAAAAATGACTGCCCCACAACGGAAGTCATTTTCCTTATTCTAATGTATGTTTGGATGATTATTCATTTACTAGATTTAAAATGCTGGTGAGTTAGACTGTAACTTACTGTGGTCCCCAACAATAAAGATAATGCTTTCTTGAGTGAAAATGTCAACAAGCTGGCTAAGTTATAGTACGTAATGTCGCATTGTGTTTTTTTGCATGTAATACCAGCATTTCTAAATTTAATCTACACTGTGGTGGGTCCTTGTGAAGTCATGAATCTAGTCTACACTGTGGTGGGTCTTGGTGAAGACATGAATCTACACTGTGGTGGGTCCTGGTGAAGACATTAATCTACACTGTGGTGGGTCTTGGTGAAGACATGAATCTACACTGTGGTGGGTCCTGGTGAAGACATGAATCTACACTGTGGTGGGTCCTGGTGAAGACATGAATCTACACTGTGGTGGGTCCTGGTGAAGACATGAATCTACACTGTGGTGGGTCCTGGTGAAGACATGAATATACACTGTGGTGGGTCCTGGTGGGAAACTAAGTAGTTGACCGTCCAAGTGATTAAAGGCTCATTCTGTCAACAGCAACAGCCTTATCAATGAACTCGTATTACACTCACTGACTGTTTTCCTGATGACTGTGTGTGTGTGTGTGTGTGTGTGTGTGTGTGTGTGTGTGTGTGTGTGTGTGTGTGTGTGTGTGTGTTTGCGTGTGTGAGAGTGTGTGAGAGTGTGTGTGTTTGTCATCTGATGATCCCTGGCAGGGCATCTTGTCATGTGACTGTAGCTTCTCATGTCTTCTGAAACTAGAGTCATTATGCCTCCTACTGGATGCAGGTCTGTTACCCATGCAGGGCCGTATTCATATAGTGTCTCATATAGTGTCTACGATCAGATTTGCCTTTTTAGATCACATCACAAGATTAAATGGACGGACGGACGGGGGGGGGGGGGGGGGCCTGATCCCAGATCAGCACTCCTACTCTGAGATGTTTCATGAATACGGGCCCTGGCTGAAATAAATACACTTTGGATTTAACATTCAAAATGTCCCTTGCTCCAAATGACTGATTCCACACAAGGCATATTGGCTGTAGTGTAAGCTTGATGTAACAGTAGCACCACCCAATGGATTAGTAGCCTATTGTACGTCATGAAGGAATGAAATAGGTCTACTGCAGTTTATCAATTCCACTTGTGACAGAAAACAGCCATGTCACTAATATTATAGTATGTTAACATGTTTCCAAAATTAAACATGGTGTGTCAGGCTCAGTCAATCATATCCTGTTTAATCTAAAACATAAAGTTAACTATGTAAAATTATTTCTTAAATAATAGGCCTAATGATAGTGAAGTATAGCTTTGTTGCGCCTGAAATGCGAAATGCAGTGGCCTTTTCTGTTTCTGTTCTCTTTAATGTTTTCTGTGTCTGTTATTTTATTGAGCAAGAATCCAAATATATCATCTACAGTTGCAGCCTCAACACATTTGATACAAAATTACCCGACACAGTTACATCATCACCACAAAATCACCCGCCTCAACTATGCTATGCAACAGAATAGAAGCAGGAAGCAATATCGACAGTCAGATTTATTTTTATGTGGCTGTCATATTTCATTTGAACCATTAGACTTCCGTTGTTGCAATTGGCTAAAGTTAAGACAGAAGCGTCGGGAAATGACTAAAGTATAGCCTAACATCAGTTGAATGTAACTGTTGCTGTTCTTTTGTCTTTATTTTCATTTTGATACATAATTTACGTGCTTAAGATGACTTCCATCTACGAAGACAATGACACACATTCTCTGGAGCTTGTGGAAGGTATTGGTCAAGATAACAGTCAAGAGGAGTTAGACTTTTCTTACCTGTTTTTGTATAACCCATCTGACGACTTTCGCAGGAATGAAGGTAAGAGCGTCTTTCTGAAGGGCCGTCAAGGGCAATCAATCAGTAATTTATGTTTAAATGGGAGTTTACAACAATTAGAAGTTTATTCAGGATTTTTAAAACAAAGGTAGCCTAATCACATAATCGTATTTTGTACACTAGCCTACTCAGAAAAGGCTACAGTCACAAACCGAAATGTATTAGAATACATTTTAATAGATTTGTCTTGCTGGTCTGTGGTCTCCACTGTTCAAATTCATGCATGCTTTGTGATTTAGTTTATATTTAGGGACAGATCGAAATGTATTGGGGGGGAGGGGTGGTCCAAAATAGGGGAGGGTAGTGTGGTTCGATGGGGGGCACAGGGGAGGGTAGTGTGGTTCTATGGGGGTCACAGGGGAGGGTAGTGTGGTTCTATGGGGGGCACAGGGGAGGGTAGTGTGGTTCTATGGGGGGCACAGGGGAGGGTAGTGTGGTTCTATGGGGGGCACAGGGGAGGGTAGTGTGTTTTTTCCCTGGTTTATTCGCTCTTCTGCTCGTATTTTCCCTATAAACAATGGCTTGACTTACTTTTGATATTACCTAATAAAGTTTAGAATAGTTTGTGAAGGTTTGGTATGGTGTGGCTATTATTAAGCTTTAGCTACTATAGGCCTATGATATGAAGGCATTGAGCCCCGACGCTCCAACTGACTCCGGCAGTTGAATTTGAGGTGAGGAAGACTGTTTCAGGCCTACCATTATTAATCCTATAATCTAACAATATAATGCTTATCTTTATCCAAAAATATTTGGATAGAAAATTAACCAATTACCCTCCTCTGTATGTCTATACAGTGCCTTGCAAAAGTATTCATCCCCCTTGGCGTTTTTCTTATTTTGTTGCATTACAACCTGTAATTTCAATGTATTTTTATTTTTATTTCATGTAATATACACAAAATAGTTCAAATTGGTGAAGTGAAATGAAAAAAATAACTTGTTTCAAAAATGTGTTTAAAATAAATAACGGAAAAGTGGTGTGTGCATACAGTGAGGGAAAAAAAGTATTTGATACCCTGCTGATTTTGTACGTTTGCCCACTGACAAAGAAATGATCAGTCTATCATTTTAATGGTAGGTTTATTTGAACAGTGAGAGACAGAATAACAAAAAAGAAATCCAGATAAACGCATGTCAAAAATGTTATAAATTGATTTGCATTTTAATGGGGGGAAATAAGTATTTGACTCCCTCTCAATCAGAAAGATTTCTGGTTACCAGGTGTCTTTTATACAGGTAACGAGCTTAGATTAGGAGCACTCTCTTAAAGGGAGTGCTCCTAATCTCAGTTTGTTACCTGTATAAAAGACACCTGTCCACAGAAGCAATCAATCAATCAGATTCCAAACTCTCCACCATGGCCAAGACCAAAGAGCTCTCCAAGGATGTCAGGGACAAGATTGTAGACCTACACAAGGCTGGAATGGGCTACAAGACCATCGCCAAAAACTTTAATGACTTGGAGAAGATCTGCAAAGAGGAGTGGGACAAAATCCCTCCTGAGATGTGTGCAAACCTGGTGGCCAACTACAAGAAACGTCTGACCTCTGTGATTGCCAACAAGGGTTTTGCCACCAAGTACTAAGTCATGTTTTGCAGAGGGGTCAAATACTTATTTCCCTCATTAAAATGCAAATCAATTGATAACATTTTTGACATACGTTTTTCTGGATTTTTTTGTTGTTATTCTGTCTCTCACTGTTCAAATAAACCTACCATTAAAATTATAGACTGATCATGTCTTTGTCAGTGGGCAAACGTACAAAATCAGCAGGGGATCAAATACTTTTTTCCCTCACTGTATGTATTCACCCCCTTTGCTATGAAGCCCCTAAATAAGATCTGATGCAACCAATTACCTTCAGAAGTCACATAATTAGTAAAATAAAGTCCACCTGTGTGCAATCTAAGTGTCACATGATCTCAGTATATATACACCTGTTCTGAAAGGCCCCAGCGTCTGCAACACCACTAAGCAAGGGGCACCACCAAGCAAGCGGCACCATGAAGACCAAGGAGCTCTCCAAACAGGTCAGGGACAAAGTTGTGGAGAAGTACAGATCTGGGTTGGGTTATAAAAACATATCAGAAACTTTGAACATCCCACGGAGCACCATCAAATCCATTATTAAAAAATTGAAAGAATATGGCACCATAAGAAACCTGCCAAGAGAGGGCCGCCCACCAAAACTCACGGACCAGGCAAGGAGGGCATTAATCAGAGAGGCAACAAAGAGACCAAAGATAACCCTGAAGGAGGTGCAAAGCTCCACAGCGGAGATTGGAGTATCTGTCCATAGGACCACTTTAAGCCGTACACTCCACAGAGCTGAGCTTTACAGAAGAGTGGCCAGACAAAAGCCATTGCTTAAAGAAAAAAATAAGCAAACACGTTTGGTGTTCGCCAAAAGACATGTGGGAGACTCCCCAAACATATGGAAGAAGGTACTCTGGTCAGATGAGACTAAAATTGAGCTTTTTGCCCATCAAGGAAAACGCTATGTCTGGCGCAAACCCAACACCTCTCATCCCCCCGTGAACACCATCCCCACAGTGAAGCATGGTGGTGGTAGCATCATGCTGTGGGGATGCTTTTCATCGGCAGGGACTGGGAAACTGGTCAGAATTGAAGGAATGATGGATGGTGCTAAATACAGGGAAATTCTTGAGGGAAACCTGTTTCAGTCTTCTAGAGATTTGAGACTGGGATGGAGGTTCACCTTCCAGCAGGACAATGACCCTAAGCATACTGCTAAAGCAACACTCGAGTCGTTTAAGGGGAAACATTTAAATATCTTGGAATGGCCTAGTCAAAGCCCAGACCTCAATCCAATTGAGAATCTGTGGGATGACTTAAAGATTGCTGCGGAACCCATCCAAATTGAAGTAGCTGGAGCAGTTTTGCCTTGAAGAATGGGCAAAAATCCCAGTGGCTAGATGTGCCAAGCTAATAGAGACATACCCCAAGATACTTGCAGCTGTAATTGCTGCAAAAGGTGGCTCTACAAAATATTGACTTTGACATTGGGTTGTAAGGCAACAAAATGGGAAAAATCCCAAGGGGGGTGAATACTTTCGCAAGCCACTCTATCTGTATAGCAGACACAGAAGCCATCTGACATAAAGAAATGCATGTCGGTGTTGTCCTATGCCACCGGCACATCTCTATCTCTCTGGGGTTAGGCCGGGGCGGCAGGTAGCTTAGTGGTTAAGAGCGTTGTGCCAGTAACCGAAAGGTCGCTGCTTCTAATCCCCGAGCCGACTAGGTGAAAAATCTGTTGATGTGCCCTTGAGCAAGGCACTTAACCCTAATTGCTCCTGAAAGTCGCTCTGGATAAGAGCGTCTGCTGAGTGACTAAAATGTAATGTAAATGCCTAAGCTTCTTATATATATATATTTATTTATTAAAATATGAATATCATACAGTGGACACCTAACCCTATAGGTCTATGCATGCAATGCCTCTGACAGCTGAACTGTGAGTTGGACAATTATTGTTTTATTAAAATAGCCAAAAACAAAACAGAAAAATAGGCTATGACGTTTTGCATATGTTACACATCGAAACACAAGGAATAGTGTTTTTGTAATTTGTTATAGGCTGTTTTTAAGGACGCGTAAATGTGGCTCATTTGGTAAATGTGGCTCATTTGGCAACATCCCTCTTTTATTGGTGGCGCTGGCTGCCCCAGGTTGGATCTGAATGCGTATGGATGTCCATTTAATTTTTCAAATGTTCGGTAAATTAACATCTTCTCTGTCATGTTGTCTGGCCCCAAATTTTCCTAAAGGAAACTCTGAAATGGCATATTGTTTTTTAGGAAGATTTTAGAACATTCACATGAAAATCTGTTTGGATGGAAACCTAGCTATAGACTCCCTAAAGACTGGCAACTCACTAGTCCAGTGTCACCTCGATTATGCTGCACATCATGGTTCACCAGCAGCCCCAAAACATCTAAACAATCAGCTACCAGCCAAACAAGCTTGGAAGAATAGTACTGAAACTCCCCCTCATACTCATCTGGAGGTTGAGCATTTTTTCATCTCTATCTCTGTAATGTGTCTGTATCTCTGTAATGTGTCTGTATCTCTGTAATGTGTCTGTGTCTCTGTAATGTGTCTGTATCTGTGTAATGTGTCTGTATCTCTGTAATGTGTCTGTATCTATGTAATGTGTCTGTATCTCTGTAATGTGTCTGTATCTCTGTAATGTGTCTGTGTCTCTGTAATGTGTCTGTATCTGTGTAATGTGTCTGTATCTCTGTAATGTGTCTGTATCTATGTAATGTGTCTGTATCTCTGTAATGTGTCTGTATCTCTGTAATGTGTCTGTATCTATGTAATGTGTCTGTATCTATGTAATGTGTCTGTATCTCTGTAATGTGTCTGTATCTATGTAATTGTTTATATATTTCTGTAAAAAAATAGGCACTACAATGGAAATAAGTCCCCGATTTTATTGTGCAATCCCGGTCACTTAAAAAAAATCTTTGTGTATATATGTATTTTTTTAACTGACAAATAAAATCGATCAATCGATCAATCCAAACTGTGCAGCGGCTAATTGATGAATGGAAATAGATATCTGTTACAAAACACCAAAAAGTTTAATGACATTCCGAGATTGTCAAGCTAAGCCTTCGTTACTGGGTAAGCCTACAAGGTAGGGATGGATGTATTTTCTGTTTGTCAAGATTGTGGTGTTGAAAACGCAAACCATGATATTGAAGTTCCTGAAGTTGGTATGGTTTGTTTATTGGTTGTGTGGTGCATTGGCACAGAAACCTGTTGGTGGAAAATTCGTTGCATATATTTAATATAATTATAAATATGGCATCAAAATGTTGAAAATCTGATTTCCCCCTAGCTGATCATTGTCTGCAGCCGGCTCTGATCGTAGTGTAATGAAACAGGCAGTGAGAGTGAGCTCGTCTGTGGTGGTCGGCAAACCCTCAACCTTCTGGCCCGTAGCCCTGCGTGGCATCGACTGTGCCACAAAAGCATGCAGAAGTGGCAAAGTCGATATCCACGTTGATAAAGACAAGTTTGCTACAGTTATTGTTATTTGTGGTTGAAAAACAATATTTTGAGTTAATTCTATGAGGGGGAGGGTGTTCAATTTATTTTGAAGTACGAGGGGAGGGTCATGTGAAAATATTTTTTACTTTGGGGAGGGGGGTGCAATTTTTTATGACACCTTGAGTTGGACCAGCCCCTCCCCCAGTAAATGTCGATCTGTCCCTTAGCCATATTGAACCCCTGGTGAATGATGGACTATCCAATAGAGGAACAGCCTACTCAGCTGTCAAATGCTTATGTTGTAAAATCCTCTACCCAGTGTAACTTTGTGTCTATTTCACATGCCTGCTATTTTAGGAACAAGTTTCCTATTATTACTGGTAATTGCCTGATGTTCATAAAAAATACTTGGTAACAAAATTTGTAAGAACAAAAAATATAGTCACTGAAATGGCAGGTGTTAGTTTAGAAAAATCACCATTCTGATCCTGACATTTTGCAATACATAATGCGTAAATGAGTGCTCCCTTCATTCTGCCATATTCTTAGCAGGCAACTCAGTGGTTCCCCCTCACGACGATCACAACCCCTCATCTATGGTGCCCTACCCTTGTGACGAAATCCCCAGTAGCGCCCCTACAACCTCCAGCCGGTCCTCCTACCACCATGGGCCTGTCCCTGACAGCCTGTCTGGGCCTGGGTTTAACTCGTTGGATCTCCCTTCCAGGCCAGTGGGTGCTCCCTCCCCTAGCCCCAGGATTGAGATCACCCCATCAGGGGACCCTCACCAGACTCATCCCCTGGACGCCAGCTCCAGAACCATGGCCCTAACCGTGCCTGGCTATGAGAACACAGCCTACCGAGAGCCCCAGAGCCCTGCCAGCAGCAACTCCTCCACGGGCTGGCTGTCTGAGGCCTACTCGCCCTGGGTCTCGCCTTGTGTATCTCCCAGTGGTGGTGGGGGCGCGGTTGGCTTGACCGCCTTGGACCTCCTCCCGGGCCTCCAGGGCATCCACACGTCCTCGGCCCACTCCTCCCCTGGGACCTCCCCGCGCACCAGCATCACAGAGGAGACTTTCCTGGTTCCGCAGAGTCAGCGGTCTTCCTCGCCCCACTCGCAGAGTCAGCGGTCTTCCTCGCCCCACTCCCACGACTACCCCCGCTCTCGCTCCGCCTCTCCTCAGGGCAAACGCACCTACGACCAGTACAGCGGCCCCAATCTGGGGACCACCAGCCAGCAGCAGCAGCGCTCCCGGAGCCCAAGCCCCAGCCCCTCACCCCACCACCCCCAAGAACGATACCTGGCCCAGGCTGACCCCCAGGCCAATGCCCCTCAGCAGGTGCCCAGCCTTGAAGAGGTGTTGAGCAGCCTCAACCCCAGCCTGCCCAGGGCGGTCCCCTCAAAGATGGTGCGGCCCAGTGTTGAGTGTTATACGTACGGAGAGAGCCAGGGGGAGCATGGACGGAGAGGCAGAGCTGGGGCTGAGACCTTCTACATCCCTACATCTGTCTGGCCGGCTCCACTAGCCCATGGAGCCTTCAGGTATAATGTGCAATGTGCTATGGGAATGATGATCCCTCATAAGAATGAAAAGTAATGACAGTCATATGAATCTGTAATGACAGGTAAAGAAGCAGTATTAAGAAAACCTTAGAGGCAGTTCATTTGAAATTGTGATTTAATGTTCTGACGTGTTTTGACGTTTTTTGTGTGTTATGGCAGGAAATGTTACGATAATGATCTTACTCCACTATAACCAGTGAAAACCCTCTCTCTACGCCCACTATCAACCAGTGAGGGGGAGAGGGGGAGTAAGGAAGAAAGCGAGAGGAGAGCGGAGTAGAGATGAAGCGAGAGAAGACGAGGCAAGAGCGAGGAGGAGAGCATGAGAGAGCGAGAAACCAGAGAACAAGCGAGAGAGCGAGCGGAGAGCGCTGCGAGACTACATATAGATAGACCCTATCTATCTACTAGCTAATGCTCTCTTCTCTCTCTCTCTCTCTCTCCTCTTCTCTCTCGACTCTCGTCTCTCTCATCAGTGGCATCCCTGTGCCATCTCTGCCCCCTCTGGAGTGGCACTTGCCCAGTCACTCCGACCAGTATGAGCTCTGTTTGGAGCAGCAGCCTAAACAGCACCACCGGGCCCACTACGAGACAGAGGGCAGCAGGGGGGCAGTCAAAGCACCTGTTGGAGGACACACTGTGGTTCAGGTACTGGGTGTGGGGGATGGGGGGAGTGTGTGTTTGTTTAACCTATGTATGTATGTGTGTGAGTATGGGTGTTGACACGTGGAACGCTTTCGACACCTTGTAGGGTCCATGCCCCGACAAATTTGGTATACCCGTGGAGAGAGAGAGAGAGAGATTGTACTCCTGTGTGTATGAACATGTGTCTGTGGTGGTATTTCCTTGTCATTATGTCACCATGTCTGTCTCAGGTGTCTAGCTACAATATGTAAATGAACAAATGTATCAGCCTGCATTATTATGACAATACCCATTCAACCATAAAACCAGCATAGTGAAACCACCATAGGACGTTTTCATATGAAATTCGGTACGCTGGTTTTGGTTTCCTGGAACATTTGTGAGAATTACGTTTTGATTTCACATGACCTGATAATTACCGCTTCAGGGTATGATTTGCAAGACTCAAATTCAACATGACATAAGCCAGCTAGCTTGTTTACAAGGGGAAAACAGTTCCACGTGACTAACCCGGTACCTGACACTCCAGTCCTGAATGCTGGACCTGCTATTGACGCAGGGTTCCAGGGTTCCTTTGTGTTCCAGACACGCTTCATAGAGCAGACTTGGGTAAAAAAAAACGCTCTGGGATCCGGATCATACAGGGGATATGTGAAAGCACCCATACTCTCATGTACCCTTTTTTAAAATAAGTTATTTACTAAAAGTTATTTACCACAAGGTCTTTGCTACAAGTTCTTTACTACAAGTTCTTTACTACAAGTTCTTTACTACAAGGTCTTTACTACAAGTTATTTACTACAAGTTATTTACTACAAGTTCTTTACTATAAGTTCTTTACTACAAGGTCTTTACTACAAGTTATTTACTACAAGTTATTTACTACAAGTTCTTTACTACAAGTTCTTTACTACAAGGTCTTTACTACAAGTTCTTTACTACAAGTTATTTACTACAAGTTCTTTACTACAAGTTCTTTACTACAAGGTCTTTACTACAAGTTCTTTACTACAAGTTATTTACTACAAGTTCTTTACTACAAGTTCTTTACTACAAGGTCTTTACTACAAGTTCTTTACTACAAGTTATTTACTACAAGTTCTTTACTACAAGTTCTTTACTACAAGTTCTTTACTACAAGTTCTTTACTACAAGTTCTTTACTACAAGTTATTTACTACAAGTTCTTTACTACAATGTTCTATTCAAGTAGTTTGAGAGGAAGAGTCCTGAGTAAATGGGTTAGTTAAGTGAAGTTGTTTTGTATTCTAGCATCTCACACAATTTTCCTCCTTTACTGACAAATGTTGTCCACATAAAGGTGAACACTTAAACTAATCTAGCCCTAACACGACCCCTAATCTTGTCCCCAGCCGGCTCTATACCAATTAAGCCTGGGATCAAGGTTAACTTTCAAGTGTAGAAAGAGGAGGAAGGGAAGCGCTACTAAGGTATACAATAGTAGATGTTGGTAGACAATATATATGAAGAGTGCCTTGGTCCTCCTTTCTTTTTGATAACTTTCAAGTGTATTTGAAATGATGAAAAATCCACCCATATGAAGTATAAAGTTCAGAACATATTGACTAAGCCATGCTGGTTTTGATGTATAGTTACTTACGCAGTGAGCTGTCTTCTCATCCCAGGAAGTGAAAGCCATTTCTGGGTCCAGGGCAACAGTAGTGATGCTATCCTTCCGCTAAACATTAGCCATCCGCTACATATGCAAGGAATTATGTCGGGAGTTGGCCTTTCGTAACCTATGAAGTCAATTTCCTTCATTATGTAACGGAGAAGAACTGTGATATTGTTGGAGGTAGTTAACCCTCGATGTTTTCAAAGTAATTATGGATGTCTCCGATTTCAACAGTTTTATCAGTTCATCTTTTGATGAGTACACTTAGAAAAAAGGGTTCCAAAAGGGTTCTCCAATGGGGACAGCCGAAGAACCCTTTAAGGTTCTAGATAGCACCTTTTTTTTCTAAGAGTGTAGGTGTCTAGAATGAATTATGGTCCCGTGGATTACACATTAGTTCAAAAGTAACCATTTTAGTCAGAGATATTATTATTTACTGTCATGTATGAAAGCTGTAAGAATGCTGGCGCTCTGCAGTGCAGAGGACACAGTATTTAAGTCAACAGTATCAAAAATGTTAAATGGATACACTCCAAAATCGAAGTGTGTCAGTTGTTTTTAGACCCCACATCCAATGTCATCTATTGTGTAGAGCCAGCTCTGCCTCAACCACAAATGAATGGAAAAGATAAGCACCGAATAAGATTAGTAAATTACATGGTGCTTATCTTTTCTATTCATTTGGGGTTTTGGCACATAGGTGTCTCTACACAATAGATGGCCGTATCTCAACATAAGACTACTATTGAGGTCTGAAAACATCTGACAAACGTTGGTTTTGGAGTATAACGTCCCCTTAAAGGTAATACTGTTTATTTATTTGTTGTTTCTCTCGAACAGCTTCATGGGTACAGAGGCAAAGCTCCACTGGGTCTGCTGGTGTTCATCGGAACGGCTGATGAGAGGATCCTCAAACCCCATGCCTTCTACCAGGTGCACCGCATCACGGGGAAAACGGTCACCACACCAAGCCAAGAGAGAAAGGTCAATGGCACCAAAGTCCTGGAGATCCCTCTAGAGCCCAAGAACAACATGAAAGCAGTGTAAGGAAAACAGTCACGTTAGAGACAGTACACACACACACACACACACACACACACACACACACACGCACGCACGCACGCACACACACGCACACACACACTAACATGCAGACACATAAGGACGCACACACACGCACACACACACACACACATGCACACACACACACACACACATACACACTAACATGCAGACACATAAGGACGCACACACACGCACACACACACTAACATGCAGACACATAAGGACGCACACACACGCACACACACACACACACACATGCACACACACACACACACACACACACACACACACATACACACTAGTATGCAGACACATAAGGATGCACACGCACGCACACAAACATACATACACAAACACGCACACACACACACACACACACACATACACACGCACACACACACACACAGACACACGTACAAGCAAATAAATATGCATGCACACACACACACACATATGTTTTCAGAGCTAGGGTATAAAATAATTAATAAAACAATTTTTTACTTCCCTTGTAAAGGATTGACTGTGCTGGCATCCTAAAGCTGAGAAATGCTGACATCGAGCTGAGGACAGGAGAGACAGACATGGGACGCAAAAACACCTGTGTCCGCCTTGTCTTTCGGGTCCATATTCCTCATCCAGGAGGACAGTATGTCTGTCTTCAAGTGGCCTCCCTTCCCATTGAGTGTTGTAAGTGAATTTTTGTTCCTGAAACCCAAATTCCATTACTACTACAAATAATAATAATAAATATAGCTGTGAGCAGCAATGAACGGGGTTCACAGGAAGACAGAAAGAACACAAGATCAGTTGGAAAACAAAGCAAGCCCTCTATCATGTAGGAACTATCTTCCTTTATGTGCAATCAGTGAAAGCATTACCATGTTTATCTCTCAATACCACAAGGATGAGGCAGGTAAAGTGTACTCTAGTGCTTTAGGTTGGTTATCTTTGAATGCAGCAGGTAATCATTCTTAAAGTCATGACATAATGTATTGAGTTTATATACACTACCAGTCAAAGGTTTGGACACACCTACTCAGTCAAGAGTTTTTCTTTATTTTTACTATTTTTTAGATTGTAGATTAATAGTGAAGACATCAAAACTATGAAATAACACATGGAATCATGTAGTAAACAAAAAAGTGTTAAACAAATCAAAATATATTTTATATTTGAGATTCTTCAAATAGCCACAGTTTGCCTTGATGACAGCTTTGTACACTCTTGGCATTATCTCAACCAGCTTCACCTGGAATGCTTTTCCAACAGCCTTGAAGGAGTTCCTACATATGCTGAGGACTTGTTGGCTGCTTTTCCTTCACTTAGCGGTCCGACTCATCCCAAACCATCTCAATTGGGTTGAGGTCGGGGGATTGTGGAGGCCAGGTCAACTGATGCAGCACTCCATCACACTCCTTCTTGGTAAAATAGCCCTTAAACAGCCTGGAGGTGTGTTGGATCATTGTCCTGTTGAAAAACCAAATGATAGTCCCACTAAGCCCAAACCAGATGGGATGGCGTATCGCTGTAGAATGCTGTGGTAGCCATGATGGTTAAGTGTGCCTTGAATTCTAAATAAATCACAGACAGTGTCACCAGCAAAGCACCCCCACACCATAACACCTCCTCCTCCATGCTTTACATGTGGAGATAATCCATTCACCCATACCGCGTCACACAAAGACACTGCGATGGGAACCAAAAATCTCTGATTTGGACTCCAGACCAAAGGACACATTTCCACGGGTCTAATGTCCACTGCTCGTGTTTCTTGGCCCAAGCAGGTCTCTTCTTTGTATTGGTGTCCTTTAGTAGTGGTTTCTTTGCAGCAATTCAACCATGAAGGCCTGATTCACACAGTCCCCTCTGAACAGTTGATGTTGAGATGTGTCTGTTACTTGAACTCTGTGAAGCATTTATTTGGGCTGCAATTTCTGAGGTTGGTAACTCTAATGAACTTATCCTCTGCAGCAGAGGTAACTCTGGGTCTTCCTGTGGCGGTCCTCATGAAAGCCAGTTTCATCATAGCGCTTGATGGTTTTTGCGACTGCACTTGAATAAACTTTCAAAGTTCTTGAAATGTTCCTTATTGACTGACCTTCATGACTTAAAGTAATGATGGACTGTCGTTTATCTTTGTTTATTTGAGCTGTTCTTACCATAATATGGACTTGGTCTTTTACCAAATAAGGATATCTTCTGTAAACCCCCCCCCCCTTCCCCCTACCTTGTCACAAAACAACTGATTGGCTCAAACGCAGTAAGATGGAAAGAAATTCCACAAATTAACTTTTAAGAAGAAACACCTGTTAATTGAAATGCATTCCAGGTGACTACCTCATGAAGGTGGTTGCGAGAATGCCAAGAGTGTGCAAAGCTGTCATCAAGGCAAAGAGTGGCTATTTGAAGAATCTCAAATATAAAATATATTTTGACATGTTTAACAATTTTTTGGTTACTACATGATTCCATATGTGTTATTTCATAGTTTTGATGTCTTCACTATTATTCTACAATGTAGAAAATAGTAAAAATAAAGAAAACCCCTTGAATAAGTAGGTGTGTCCAAACTGCTGACTGGTACTGTATAAATATGAATATTTATAAATATATATACGCTGACTGCTCAAGCGGCACAACTTCCGGTTTCTAATTTTCCTAAATAAAATGTTTCACTGCGTTCAGACCACATAATAGGGAAACACTATGTAATTATACAGATACATACTGTATATAATGGGATGTATTATGGACAGTATATGGATAGAATACAGTGAGGGAAAAAAGTATTTGATCCCCTGCTGATTTTGTACGTTTGCCCACTGACAAAGAAATGATCAGTCTATCATTTTAATGGTAGGTTTATTTGAACAGTGAGAGACAGAATAACAACAAAATAATCCAGAAAAACGCATGTCAAAAATGTTATAAATTGATTTGAATTTTAATGAGGGAAATAAGCACACTCTTAAAGGGAGTGCTCCTGATCTCAGCTTGTTACCTGTATAAAAGACACCTGTCCACAGAAGCAATCAATCAATCAGATTCCAAACTCTCCACCATGGCCAAGACCAAAAAGCTCTCCAAGGATGTCAGGGACAAGATTGTAGACCTACACAAGGCTTTGAATGGGCTACAAGACCATCGCCAAGCAGCTTGGTGAGAAGGTGACAACAGTTGGTGCGATTATTCGCAAATGGAAGAAACACAAAATAACTGTCAATCTCCCTCTGCCTGGGGCTCCATGCAAGATCTCACCTCGTGGAGTTGCAATGATCATTAGAACGGTGAGGAATCAGCCCAGAACTACACGGGAGGATCTTGTCAATGATCTCAAGGCAGCTGGGACCATAGTCACCAAGAAAACAATTGGTAACACACTACGCTGTGAAGGACTGAAATCCTGCAGCGCCCGCAAGGTCCCCCTGCTCAAGAAAGCACATATACAGGCCCGTCTGAAGTTTGCCAATGAACATCTGAATGATTCAGAGGAGAACTGGGTGAATTTTTTGTGGTCAGATGAGACCTAAATCGAGCTCTTTGGCATCAACTCAACTCGCCGGAATGCTGCCCATGACCCCAAGAACACCATCCCCACCGTCAAACATGGAGGTGGAAACATTATGCTTTGGGGCTGTTTTTCTGCTAAGGGGCCAAATCTTGGGTGAGAACCTCCTTCCCTCAGCCAGGGCATTGAAAATGGGTCGTGGATGGGTATTCCAACATGACAATGACCCAAAACACATGGCCAAGGCAACAAAGGAGTGGCTCAAGAAGAGCATTAAGGTCCTGGAGTGGCCTAGCCAGTCTCCAGACCTTAATCCCATAGAAAATCTGTGGAGGGAGCTGAAGATTTGAGTTGCCAAACGTCAGCCTCGAAACCTTAATGACTTGGAGAAGATCTGCAAAGAGGAGCGGGACAAAATCCCTCCTGAGATGTGTGCAAACCTGGTGGCGAACTACAAGAAACGTCTGACCTCTGTGATTGGCAACAAGGGTTTTGCCACCAAGTACTAAGTCATGTTTTGCAGAGGGGTCAAATACTTATTTCCCTCATTAAAATGCAAATCAAGTCATAACATTTTTGACATGCGTTTTTCTGGATTTTTTCGTTGTTATTCTGTCTCTCACTGTTCAAATAAACCTACCATTAAAATGATAGACTGATCATGTCTTTGTCAGTGGGCCAACTTACAAAATCAGCAGGGGATCAAATACTTTTTTCCCTCACTGTATGTAGTACATCTGTAGAATATGTAGGATAGAATAGTATATGTACAGCAATAGTTAAATAGGATAGGCCTTGACTAGAATACAGTGCATTATAGATATATTATATATATACAGTGCATTATAGATACATTATATATATACAGTGCATTATAGATACATTATATATATACAGTGCATTATAGATACATTATATATATACAGTGCATTATAGATACATTATATATATACAGTGCATTATAGATACATTATATATATACAGTGCAATATAGATACATTATATATATAGACCCCTATTTATTTTTTAGCATTTTGTGAAACAAGTTATTTTGGACTGACCACAACACTTTCACCCAGTTCTCCTCTGAATCATTCAGATGTTCATTGGCAAACTTCAGACGGGCCTGTATATGTGCTTTCCTGAGCAGGGGGACCTTGCGGGTGCTGCAGGATTTCAGTCCTTCACGGCGTAGTGTGTTACCAATTGTTTTCTTGGTGACTATGGTCCCAGCTGCCTTGAGATCATTGACAAGATCCTCCCGTGTAGTTCTTGGCTGATTCCTCACCGTTCTCATGATCATTGCAACTCCACGAGGTGAGATCTTGCAAGGAGCCCCAGGCCGAGGGAGATTGACAGTTATTTTGTGTTTCTTCCATTTGCGAATAATCGCACCAACTGTTGTCACCTTCTCACCAAGCTGCTTGGCGATGGTCTTGTAGCCCATTCCAGCCTTGTGTAGGTCTACAATCTTGTCCCTGACATCTTTGGAGAGCTCTTTGGTCTTGGCCATGGTGGAGAGTTTGGAATCTGATTGATTGATTGCTTCTGTGGACAGGTGTCTTTTATACAGGTAACAAGCTGAGATTAGGAGCACTCCCTTTAAGAGTGTGCTCCTAATCTCAGCTCGTTATCTGTATAAAAGACACCTGGGAGCCAGAAATCTTTCTGATTGAGAGGAGGTCAAATACTTATTTCCCTCATTGAAATGCAAATCAATTTATAACATTTTTGACATGCCATTTTCTTGATTTTTTTGTTGTTATTCTGTCTCTCACTGTTGAAATAAACCTACCATTAAAATGATAGACTGATCATGTCTTTGTCAGTGGGCAAACGTACAAAATCAGCAGGGGATCAAATACTTTTTTCCCTCACTGTAGATAGTTTGAGTTTATGTATTGATATGTAGGCTACGTGTGCCTTTTGTCATTTTATATTTATTTATATCGTTTTGTCCATGAGCTGTTGTCTATTAATGTTCTGTATTATGTCATGTTTCATGTTTTGTGTGGACCCCAGGAAGAGTAGCTGCTGCTTTTGCAACAGCTAATGGGGATCCTAATAAAATACAAAATACCACTCCTCAGTAAAAGGCACATGACAGCCCACTTGGAGTTTGCCAAAAAGGACTCTCAGACCATGAGAAACAAGATTCTCTGGTCTGATGAAACCAAGATTGAACTCTGGCCTGAATGGCAAGTGTCACGTCTGGAGGAAACCTGGCACCATCCCTACGGTGAAGCATGGTGGTGGCAGCATCATACTGTGCTAATGTGCATCTATAGGTACAGTGCGGCCATATTTAAATGCAGTAACAATATTTTCTCAAAACCATTAAAAACTGATGTAATTTAATTTTTTTACATTTTAGTCATTTAGCAGATGCTCTTATCCAGAACGACTTACAGTTAGTGAGTGCATACATTTTTCATTATGAGTCTTAATATAAAATCTGGAGTGAATCTGATGTATGGTTCATGAAGAAAAGATGATTACCAAATTCAGTGTGGTTCATCTTAAGGACGTCCCTGATAGCGATGACAAGTTTCAAATTGATAGGCCACTGTGGAGTGGATTTACAGTGGTTTAAATGGACATGTAAAAGCCGTTTTTTGATTTGTCACTAACTCAAGCCATCTTTTGAGCAATCCCTTAGTTTTTCTCAAACTTTGTTGATTACATTCCAAATTTGGTGTAATTTGGTCCTATGGTTCATGATAAAAAAAAAAAATTGTGCATATTTTATGTGCTAATATTCATCTACTGGTATAGTGTGGCCGTCTTTGAATGAGTCAACGTTATTTTCTCAACCGGTATTTTCTCCAAAGATAACATTTGTTGTGAATCTGACTTTTAGTCCACGAGAAGAAGATTTTGTATTATTATTTTAAGCATAAGAATTATATAGTCAAAAAAGTGAATTGTTTAATGGGATACTTCAGGATTTTGGCAATGATGCCCTATATCTACTTCAGATGAACTCATGGATACCATTTGTATGTCTCTGTGTCCAGTATGAAGGAAGTTAGAAGTAGATTTGCAAGGCAATGCTAACTAGCATTAGTGCAATGACTGGAAGTCTATGGGTATATGTTTATATTTTTTATATTTATTTTCATATTTTAGTTTATTTTAGCTCTTATCCAGAGCGACTTCCAGGAGCAATTAGGGTTAATCGTCTTGCTTAAGGGCACATCGACAGATTTTTCACCTAGTCGGCTCGGGGATTAGAACCAGCGACCTTTCAGTTACTAGCACAACACTCTTACCCACTAAGCTACCTGCCGCCCTGCGGTATCTGCTAGCATGTTAGCAGGTCTATGGATATCTGTCAAACTGCACACAGAGACAGAACTCTTTCCACCCTTTGTGGAAAGGGTTCTATATGGAACCCAGGATGGTTCTACCTGAAACCAAAAAGGGTTCTTCAAAGGGTTCTTCTATTGGGACATTCGAATAACTCTTTCAGGTTCTAGACAGCACCTTTGTTTCCAATAGTGTATTCTTGAGTTATTTGTCAAGAAAAAAATAAAAAAAATAATACAGAGAATAACAATAAAGCTTCGCTATCAACCCCTAATATTAATCTGCAGACCGTTTTAATTAGAAACTTTTCTTCATTGAGGTGCGTTAAAAGGAGGGGATTATATAACTGAAATTTAGTCAACTGTGTGATGGTGAGTAATTTACATTGGAATGGAAAATATGCCTATTTGAAATGGTACACTTATTTTGCTCACAGCCATTTGCTTGTGCAAAAATGTCGCCCTCAGAATGAAACTCATGTTCTCCTATGGTTGTTCTAATGTTCTCCTAACGACGTTCTACTGTGGTTCCACAGCCCAGAGGTCGGCCCACCAGCTTCCCACTGTAGAGCGCCAGGACGTGGAGCGCTGCTCGGTTCTAGGGGGACAGCAGATGATACTGACCGGACAGAACCTCACCTCTGATTCCAAGGTGGTGTTCACAGAAAAGACACCTGGTGAGGACTTTACAATCAATCAATCAATCAAATATATTTATGAAGCCCTTTTTACGTCAACAGTTGTGCTTTACAGTAACCTTGCCTACACTCCTAAGAGCAAACATAAAGGCAAAAGTAATTGTATCTAATAATGGCATACTGTACACTACCTTTAGTAATGTTTGGCTTCATGGTAGTAAATTATAGAAATGGGCTAAGCCTCTTGAGTCTTTTCTTCATACAACAGTTAGTATCCTTGGGTTGTGTGAGACGGAACGTAGCGTGAGGCAGCTTGATGTACAAGTACACTCCCTGGACAGGACGCTATAGTCTATCGCAGGGCCTTACCACCAACTACGGTTGAATGCCGGGAAACGGGTTACCGAGATTTCCCGCCCAAACCCACTCCCTTTTCCCGGGATAAATAACTGCGAGAAAACAGTAAATTATAATAAATTATTTATATGAACAGCATGACGTGAAATGGAACTGTTAAGTTATATGAGATGTCTAAATCGGGCTTCTCTAGGGCTTCGCTCTGCTATCTGCATGATCAATCATCAACGCTCAGGGTGTGGACAGACAGCGCATCTCAGTACGGAGAGCAGTTCACAAAGCATGTATCATCTCATCATGATAACTTTTTTTCTTGTGACAGGAAGGCCTACATTTGCTGCAGCATAGTCTATGCTACAGTAATATAAAGTCCGAATTAGCGTCTAATGTACCCATCTCCATCTGGCTTTCAGGGGCCACCTTATTTTGTAGTTGACTTTTTTACAGTTGACTGTGGTATTTTGGACACAGTAATTGCAGAATAACTGCGGTGTTATACTGCACGCTAACTGCAGTTACACTGAAAAATTACTGCAGTGAAAAAAACAGTGTTATTTTGGACGCAGTATTTGCAACATACTGCAGTTATACTGCACTCTAACTGCAGTTATACCACAGTGTACTGCAGTTATACTACAGTGTACTGCAGTTATACTGCACTCTGACTGCAGTTATACTACAGTGTACTGCAGTTATACTGCACTCTGACTGCAATCTTTGTTTGTAAGGGGATAATCCATTTCATATAGATGTCCTAGAGTACCCCTTTCAGGTAATACATTCAATGCAGTATTAGCCATTTATCTAATGAATGATGGGTTATTCATAAGTGTATAGCCTCTGTCTCTTGTGCAATATGCACCTGTGCACTGCTGGCCTTAAAAAACGGTCCTTAGCTCTTAGAGTCCCACGAAAAGCTAGACTAGAATGTATTATTATTATTAATTTTTTCTAGCTTGCTGGAATTTTTTTGTGTGCATTTCTTATAGCCCACTAGACTATTCGAAAAGGGATGCAAGCCTTTGTTTGCTGAAAGTTAAATACAGCAGCCAATAGAACTTACCCGGAGAAGAGAGAATGCGTGATGACGGTAGGCTATACATTTACATTTACGTCATTTAGCAGACGCTCTTATCCAGAGCGACTTACAAATTGGTGCATTCACCTTATAGCCAGTGGGGTAGAAGGATTACTTTATCCTATCCCAGGTATTCCTTAAAGAGGTGGGGTTTCAAATGTCTCCGGAAGGTGGTGAGTGACTCCGCTGTTCTGGCGTCGTGAGGGAGCTTGTTCCACCATTGGGGTGCCAGAGCAGCGAACAGTTTTGACTGGGCTGAGCGGGATCTGTGCTTCCGCAGAGGTAGGGGAGCCAGCAGGCCAGAGGTGGATGAACGCAATGCCCTCGTTTGGGTGTAGGGACTGATCAGAGCCTGAAGGTACGGAGGTGCCGTTCCCCTCACAGCTCCGTAGGCAAGCACCATGGTCTTGTAGCAGATGCGAGCTTTAACTGGAAGCCAGTGGAGTGTGCGGAGGAGCGGGGTGATGTGAGAGAACTTGGGAAGGTTGAACACCAGACGGGCTGCGGCATTCTGGATGAGTTGTAGGGGTTTAATGGCACAGGCAGGGAGCCCAGCCAACAGCGAGTTGCAGTAATCCAGACGGGAGATGACAAGTGCCTGGATTAGGACCTGTGCCGCTTCCTGTTTAAGGCAGGGTCGTACTCTCCGAATGTTGTAGAGCATGAACCTACAGGATCGGGTCACCACCTTGATGTTAGCGGAGAACGACAGGGTGTTGTCCAGGGTCACGCCAAGGCTCTTCGCACTCTGGGAGGAGGACACAACGGAGTTGTCAACCGTGATGGCGAGATCATGGAACGGGCAGTCCTTCCCCGGGAGGAAGAGCAGCTCCGTCTTGCCAAGGTTCAGCTTGAGGTGGTGATCCGTCATCCACACTGATATGTCTGCCAGACATGCAGAGATGCGATTTGCCACCAGGTTATCAGAAGGGGGAAAGGAGAAGATTAGTTGTGTGTCGTCTGCGTAGCAATGATAGGAGAGGCCATGTGAGGATATGACAGAGCCAAGTGACTTGGTGTATAGCGAGAATAGGAGAGGGCCTAGAACTGAGCCCTGGGGGACACCAGTGGTGAGAGCACGTGGTGCGGAGACAGCTTATCGCCACGCCACTTGGTAGGAGCGACCGGTCAGATAGGACGCAATGCAAGAGTGAGCCGCGCCGGAGATGCCCAGCTCGGAGAGGGTGGAGAGGAGGATCTGATGGTTCACAGTATCAAAGGCAGAGGAGGACAAGAGCAGAGGAGAGATAGTTAGCTTTAGCAGTGCAGAGAGCCTCCGTGACACAGAGAAGAGCAGTCTCAGTTGAATGACCAGTCTTGAAACCTGACTGGTTTGGATCAAGAAGGTAATTCTGAGAGAGATAGCAAGAGAGTTGGCTAAAGACGGCACGCTCAAGAGTTTTGGAGAGAAAAGAAAGAAGGGATACTGGTCTGTAGTTGTTGACATCAGAGGGATCGAGTGTTGGTTTTTTGAGAAGGGGTGCAACTCTCGCTCTCTTGAAGACGGAAGGGACGTAGCCAGCGGTCAAGGATGAGTTGATCAGCGAGGTGAGGTAAGGGAGAAGGTCACCGGAGATGGTCTGGAGAAGAGAGGAGGGGATAGGGTCAAGCGGGCAGGTTGTTGGGCGGCCGGCCGTCACAAGTCGCAAGATTTTATCTGGAGAGAGAGGGGAGAAGAAGTCAAAGCATAGGGTAGGGCAGTGTGAGCAGGACCAGCAGTGTCATTTGACTTAACAAACGAGGATCGGATGTCGTCAACCTTCTATTCAAAATGGTTGACGAAGTCATCCACAGAGAGGGAGGAGGGGGGAGGGGGAGGAGGATTCAGCAGGGAGGAGAAGGTGGCAAAGAGCTTCCTAGGGTTAGAGGCAGATGCTTGGAATTTAGAGTGGTAGAAAGTGGCCTTAGCAGCAGAAACAGATGAAGAAAATGTAGAGAGGAGGGAGTGAAAAGATGCCAGGTCCGCAGGGAGTCTAGTTTTCCTCCATTTCCGCTCAGCTGCCCGGAGCCCTGTTCTGTGAGCTCGCAATGAGTCATCAAGCCACGGAGCTGGAGGGGAGGACCGAGCCGGCCGGGAGGATAGGGGACATAGAGAGTCAAAGGATGCAGAAAGGGAGGAGAGGAGGGTTGAGGAGGCAGAATCAGGAGATTGGAGGGAGAAGGATTGAGCAGAGGGAAGAGATGATAGGATGGAAGAGGAGAGAGTAGCGGGAGAGAGAGAGCGAAGGTTGCGACGGCACATTACCATCTGAGTAGGGGCAGAGTGAGTAGTGTTGGAGGAGAGCGAGAGAGGAAAGGATACAAAGTAGTGGTCGGAGACATGGAGGGGAGTTGCAGTGAGATTAGTAGAAGAACAGCATCTAGTAAATATGAGGTCAAGCGTATTGCCTGCCTTGTGAGTAGGGGGGGACGGTGAGAGGGTGAGGTCAAAAGAGGAGAGGAGTGGAAAGAAGGAGGCAGAGAGAAATGAGTCAAAGGTAGACATAGGGAGGTTGAAGTCCCCCAGAACTGTGAGGGGTGAGCCATCTTCAGGAAAGGAACTTATCAAGGCGTCAAGCTCATTGATGAACTCTCCAAGGGAACCTATAGCAGTTATTTATTCAGACCCGTCACCCGTAACCATTCAATCTTCATGAAGAGAAGTGAAAGCCGTCTGCATCTTATTCTAGTCCTAAATTATTCAAACATGTCTTTACAATGATGACGATAAGGACAACTAAACTTATTTCATTTAACTGTTGAAAGCGAGGGAGGAATGAAGCAACAATAGAGAGAGAAAGAGGAGGTAGACTAATAACATTAGGGGAAATATTATGAAAGGTAGCCTACATATGCATCAGCCTTCTAATTATACATTTTTTAAATAGGCCCTATTATATTTCCAAATTAAATCAAATTTGCTAGCCTATAATTGTAACTTTGTAGGCCGCATGTCCTGCACCATCTTTGCATGTTCTCTCCCAACATAATGGTTTGAACAAGCTACATCTATGGGCTTTTATGTTTTTCTGTTGTAGCTTGTGCGGAATGTGCGGTAGCCTATATATTATATAGACCTATTGGATAGTGGCACAATAATTTGGGATTTTTTGGGCTCTGGCTCATAAAATGTCTTTAATGTAGGGCTCATAAAACGTATTTAATGTATGGCTCATCAGGCTCAGGTAGCATCAGGCTTGAATTTTCATGCCAATCAAAGCTCTAATAAAATCCATACATATTTATATGTTTTAGAAGTACACTTCCAGTTTTGGCGGGAAATACAGGGTTACCTGGGAGAAAAGTGATTTATTCTCGGGATGGAACATTTGTAAAATATTCAACCCTACCCCAAATCTATCTCCTTAATGCTGAGTGCCAAGTAGAGACGCACCGGGTCTGATTTTTACAGTATGACTATAAAACTCCCAACCTTTCAATCTCAGGGCGGACACTCAAACCTCAAGGCCACAGAGTTCCTACAGCTTTGAGATGACAATTGCCAGAACGTTCTTTCTCTCGCCATTGTACTCTGTTGTGATCCAGAATTAATGTACTGCATGTTCTGAAACCAATCTGCTCAGCTTTGACCTGCTTAGATTTGAATGGATTACTGTTCTCAATGGCTGGTTTCAATGGACTCCAAGCTCTCAGTCATCACCATGGCTGTATAATGCAAAGATTTATTTCAGACCACCACTACTAGCCCAACATGGATATGGTTAATAGCATCTAGTTTGTTTATTTGTATTCCCATCTTGTTTGCATATTGCCAAGGCAACCGTTAGCACTGGAGCCATAGTACAGGGCAGTGATATGTTTAGTTCAGTCATAATAACACCCTGACTGCAATACAGGAAGGGAAACTAGATCATCGGTTTACAGTGATGCACTACTCCCAACAGCTTGGAGTTGGAACAGTCACAAAACAGTTATGCACTGCACATGCTCAAAGAACACAAATGAATCAAATATGCCATTTAGCAGACACCTTTTTGCCAGCGCTATGCTCTTACTGAGCCACATAGGACAATACTTATTTCAATTATTAATTTTCCTCATTGTATCGTCATTACAGGATTATGACGCCTCTGTGCGGTGTCTTCTAACATAGAGGTGTTAGGTAACAAGGTCTGGGTCTTTTAACATAGAGGTGTTAGGTAACAAGGTCTGGGTCTTTTAACATAGAGGTGTTAGGTAACAAGGTATGGGTCTTTTAACATAGAGGTGTTAGGTAACAAGGTCTGGGTCTTCTAACATAGAGGTGTTAGGTAACAAGGTCTGGGTCTTTTAACATAGAGGTGTTAGGTAACAAGGTCTGGGTCTTCTAACATAGAGGTGTTAGGTAACAAGGTATGGGTATTTTAACATAGAGGTGTTAGGTAACAAGGTATGGGTCTTTTAACATAGAGGTGTTAGGTAACAAGGTATGGGTCTTCTAACATAGAGGTGTTAGGTAACAAGGTATGGGTCTTCTAACATAGAGGTGTTAGGTAACAAGGTCTGGGTCTTCTAACATAGAGGTGTTAGGTAGCAAGGTATGGGTCTTTTAACATAGAGGTGTTAGGTAACAAGGTCTGGGTCTTTTAACATAGAGGTGTTAGGTAACAAGGTATGGGTCTTTTAACATAGAGGTGTTAGGTAACAAGGTCTGGGTCTTCTAACATAGAGGTGTTAGGTAACAAGGTATGGGTGCAGAATATAGCCACAGTTATGAGTTTGTAAACTGCTCTCTTGTTTAGCATGTGGTTTAGTGCGAGAGGATGTGGTTAGACAAACATCGATACCATCTCCAAGCAGACAGACGTTTCTGTCTCACTTTACTCAAAACGTGGTCCGTAAGCAGGAGGTAAACGTTGAGATGGGAATATACTAGAACAGAGATTAATGGCAATCATTACTGATACTGCCTACGTACCAGTTACTGAGAAGAACATGGGGGTGGATATGGGGTTTTCATATAAATCATCATCACCATTATAGGTTTACAGATGCTTTCTTAACATCCTGATTATAAACACGACAATTGTTTTTATAATTGCTAAGTTTGATGCCACCAACACAGTACTGTGTCTGTTGGTGAGTGTTTGTGGGATATAAAATGTTCTATTTGACTGTAAATACACCAGCTAGCTCGTTTTAGATACCTATATTTAAAATAATAACTCAATCTAATAAATTGTATTTCTAGTTTCTAGCTGCTTTCACATTCCTGCCTTCACACTCCTGTCTTCACACTCCTGCTTTCACCTTCCGCCTTCACATTCTGCCTTTAAAATCCCCCATCCACCTTCCTGCCTTCACACTCCTGCCTTCACCTTCCTGCCTTCACCTTCCTGCCTTCACACTCCTGCCTTCACACTCCTGCCTTCACCTTCCTGCCTTCACATTCCGCCTTCGCACTCCTGTCTTCACATTCCGCCTTCACATTCCTGCCTTCACCTTCCAGCCTTTACCTTCCTGCCTTCACACTCCTGCCTTCACCTTCCTGCCTTCACACTCCTGCCTTCACCTTCCTGCCTTCACACTCCTGCCTTCACCTTCCTGCCTTCACCTTCCTGCCTTCACACTCCTGCCTTCACACTCCTGCCTTCACCTTCCTGCCTTCACACTCCTGCCTTCACCTTCCTGCCTTCACCTTCCTGCCTTCACACTCCTGCCTTCACACTCCTGCCTTCACACTCCTGCCTTCACATTCCGCCTTCGCACTCCTGCCTTCACATTCCGCCTTCGCACTCCTGCCTTCACCTTCCTGCCTTCACATTCCCAACTTCACCTTCCTGCCTTCACATTCCTCTCTCTACTTATTGTATGGTTTGTTCATATCAATCTCTTCTCCCCTCCTGATAAAGGTACACTGCACTTGCATTGTGTTTCTTTCAGATGGGCTGCAAATCTGGGAAGCGGAAGCTACAGTAGACCGAGACAAGAGCCAGAAAGTGAGTTGCCGTCCTATCACCTTTACCAACATTAAAATACTGCTTGCGTCATACAGTACTAGCTAACTCCTACACTGTAAAAAATAGAAAGTCTCAAAACACCATGACTGTGTAGTGAAACCATGAAAAGTAGTGCACCTAAGCTGAGATCTGGTGTTTGGAGGGTGTTTGAATCTAAACCCAATATAAGAGTTATGATACACTGAATGTGTTTTAAAGCTGTAATATGTCACTTTTTGGGCGACCCGACCAAATTCACATAGAAATGTGAGTTAAAGATCTATCATTGTCATTGAACACAAGTCTAAGAAGCGGTAGATCTGTTCTATATGTGCTATTTTTATGCTTCCCGTTCTTACGTTTTTGTACACCAGCTTCAAACAGCTGAAAATACAATATTTTTGGTTATTGAAAATATATTTCACAGCGGTTTAGATGTTACAATGATTATCTACACTATACAATGCTTGTTTTGTCACATAAACTGAAATTAGGCAAACTATTACAATTTTAGCAACCAGGAAATGGCGGAGCGATTTCTGCATATTCCACCTTTAAAACAGAAATGAGGTACTCTGAAGCACCCAGAGTGGTTCTTCAACCTGAATATTGGTGTTTGTAAGAGAGTGTTGTGAAAACACTCAATGCATGTAAAAGGCAGCATCAAAACACCAACAACAACAAAAATTATCATAAAATCAATGGTTTAGAAATGCTAATAGTTTATAGCCTAAATATAAATATTTTTTGTGAAATTCCACCTTTATTTGTTCAACGCTTTTTTAGACAGATTAGAAACAGGAGGGGCAGTAAGATGGTACATTTAGTTGGAACTTTACCCACTCAACAACACAGCCACACTGTAAGAAATTATTCTGGGGTGAATTGAAATAGACTCCAAAAAACAACCAACATATAGGCCTACTAAAAGAAATGAATGCAAGTCGTGCAGAGCCTGTGGTCTAGCAGTAACGCACCAGGCTTAGACTCGTCACCCGTTTCCACACCAAAGACAGGGGTTAAATTCTCTGCTCCAACCCTTCAATCTGTTTCTCCCACCAATCTGTATCCCCTCTGTCATTTCATAACTGTTTCATTGAAGTGTCAGAATACCCCAAAATTATATATTTTTTAAATGTATGCAATTTGTTTCAATGATTTGTTAATTTCATTTTTACCAAAATAATGTAAGAATAAATCCAACTTAATATGTTGCTCAATTTCTTTCATGAGGATAACCAAAGAGACTGAGAGATAACATTTTGTGATTTAACTCTTTGGAAGTCTTTGGTTTTAATCACCTTGCTTTTCCTATCTTGCCACGTGACTCTGTTTTTAGAGGATTGTGGGTAATTCAACATTTTTAGACTTTATGATTCTTTCAAACAATGTTGTATGCATGTTTGAAGAAAAAAACAGTATATTTATATATTGGGATTAAGCTTGTTGCTCCATGAGGTGTAATGGATCATGATGAACGGATATCAAAACCGTCATACAAATTGACGTTCAATTCTTGCAGTTCAACCTCCAGCTATTGCTGGTTGTTTGAACACTGTACTTGACAATGCTGGCCAAAATGGTATAAAATGGCAAATGATCAAATACATTGAAAACAAAATTGCTTTAAGACACTTCATAAAAAGGGATCTAATTCTGCCCTAAATGGGATTCAAAATATCATAATGGTGTTTAGAAGCTTCTAGAGAGAGAAAACAACACTAAAAGAGAAGGTATCTGATTCTGCATGAAACAGGACTCGAAACACCAAAATAGTGTTTTCAATATTTTCTGTTAGTGCTGCCAGTCCCTGGCAAGGTGTTGCACAACACTTGATTTAGTGGTGTTACAACACACCATGTAATGGTTCAGAACATCTCAGGATAATGTGTTTCAATACTCCAGCAAAGTTAAGGTTTCGTCTCCTTCAAGTTGGTGGCAGCTCAGTTGCCACTAGTTTCGGTGTTACAAAGCACTTCATTTTAACAGTACTTTTCCTTTTCAATGTTCTTCTACACGATGTCACACAGCCTCATTATAGATATGTCCACACCGTCGCCCAGTGATACTCTCTATGACAAATGACGGATTGACGTTCATCTGCACCATATTATGTTATATCTAGAGCATGCTGTTTGTGGAGATCCCTCCGTATCGAGATCCCACCATTTATCACGCGGCTAAAGTCAACTTCTATGTGATCAACGGGAGGAGGAAACGCAGTCAGGCGCAGCACTTCACCTACACGCCTTTAACGGGTGAGTCCATCCACACCTTACATTGCAGTAACTTCATCACTATCCCATTGATTACTAGTTAAAGGAATAGTTCAGCCAAGTTACATATTGACAATGTGTCATTTTGAAATGTGTGTGAACTATCCCTTTAACTTGTTTTGAGCACCAACTGTTATTTAAAACTCAAATCATCCGAAGTCTGATTTAGATTTGATGTTCTTTTCAGTTCCTGCCATTAAAACGGAACCCGTAGATGACTTCCAGTTCAGCCAGCTGGACTGTGCTGTCTCCCAAATCCTAGGAATGTCACCCAAGACCTACCAGCACACCCCCAGTAGCCACCTCAACCCTAATAGCCAAATAGTGGCTGGCATGACATCCTTGGCATCCTGCCAGCGTGCGAGCCACCACGACCCCACTGTCACAGTGTCAGCCTATCAACCACAGGACCCATCTGTCTATTGCCCCAGTAAAAGCCGAAGCCTGGGTAGCAGCCCTGTCCTGTATCAAGATATGAACCACCACCCAGTGATGATCCACAGTGGCTCCCCATCTCAGATGTCCTATACCCAGCACTACTCCAGCCTAGTGTCCCAACCCTTCCACCCCTCTCACTCAGCCACCAATCAGCGAGTTGTCAACGTAGCTGTCCCAGTGGCCCAACACCAGCATGCCACCATGGTGGGTGATGGGTACCGGGCTGCAGCTTCATTATGGAAGGCTGGTGCCTCGCCAGAGGTCTGTTCCTCAGAAGGCCGGTACCAGGGCTTCATGCACACGGTGATGCCTGTCTCGGGCAGGTCTCCACCACGACACAGCCACATCCTGACCCAGAGAGGTCCAGCCACTACGGGGAGCCAGAGTGGGCCAGTCCGTGGGAAGGTGACGGCCAAGCAAGAAAACCTGAACCAAGCCTATCTGGATGATGGTGAGTTAATACAAAACATATTGGATACTGCAGAAACGTACTGTACCCCATGCTCCTCTAACTTACTGTTATAGGAGTATCGTGACAATGTGTAGTGTTAAATAGTTATTGATGCTGGAACTTGAGATGGACTATACTGATATACAGTGCACAGCAACATCTTCAAAGAAACTCTCATGTGTTTGAAAGAGGAAACTCATTTAGTCATATCCCTAAGCTTGACTACAGTTTTTTCAAAGGAGATACAGAGGATAAACAAAACAAACAGAAAATATACACACAAAACAAATGTCCTAAATAGTACCAGATAGGGGTTATTTGGCTTGTAACCATAGCGGAACCCTGTTTTGAAGGTTCAATAAAGAACCATGCTCATAAGGTTCTAAATGGAACCTGTATGGTACTGTTAAGAACCTTTTCCTAAGGTTCTATAATGAACCATTAAAAAAGGTTATATATAGTATCAAAAAAGGGTTTTGCAATGGTTCCAACCCTTGTTTATGGTTATTTATAGAACCTTTATGGAGAATGGTTCTATAAAGAACCACAAGACACCATCACTGGCCATAGTCATATATAATATGTAATGGCATAACACATTTCTTTATCTTGGCCAGGTCGCAGTTGTAAATGAGAACTTGTTCTCAACTGGCTAACCTGGTTAAATAAAGGTGAAATAAAAAATAAATAAAAAGATAAACTGGAATGACACTATCCTTCAAGGTTGCACAAAAAGAGCTGTGAACAAACCATGCCCCAAAATATTCAAATGAGCCACCTCCCCTACATTTTAATTATCACTAAAAGAGCAAAGAACCTTTTTGTGAACCATTGAAGAGCTCCAAGGGTTCTTTGAGTCATTATGGTTCCACATTGAACCATCACCCTTCCCAAAGAACCCTTGAGGAACCCTCATTTTTTAGTGTGTAGAGCACATGTGAAAACAGTCAGTATGTGAGGGTGTGCCAGCAGTAACCTGCCATTATAAGCTGCCCTAGACTTTGGGCCTTGACAGAGGAGTGATACGGTCTTCTACTCTGACACTCAGCATCAAATCAATTCCTAGACCCAACACTAGATTCGGGATTTTGGCAATGAGGCCCTTTATCTACTTCCCAAGAATCAGATTAACTTGTGTATACCATTTTTATGTCTTTGCGTACAGTTTGAAGTTGCGTTAGCGCAGATACGCGTAGACTTCCAGTCATTCCGCTAGTTAGCATTGGTTCGCTAAATTATCTCTAACTTCCTTCATACTGGACACAGAGACATAATGGTATCCATGAGTTCATCTGACTCTGGGGAAGTGGATAAAGGGCCTCATTGCCAAAATCCCTTTGAAGGATTGGATATCTATGAGGAACCACATTTCCATCCACAGTTCGTATGAGTAAAATCATACCGTATAAAAAAAATCACGACAGCTGTAATGGAAACAGGAAGTTTCGTTACAATTTTTAAAATGCCGACAGATCATTTGATCGTTCGACATGGTGGGATCTTTTTGTGTCTGTAAAATTAATTATGCGAGAAATGGTGGTGGAAATATGCCTTAATGCCAAATATTGATACATTAACCATCATATCAAAGTAAACTTGGAGTCACACGATGATATGGTGTGTGGTCCTCCCACTACGACTCTGGAAACTATGCAGTTTATTAGGCTACAGATTAAATAAGTTATGATGAACTTCACAGGGTGGTGAAAGTGCACGGTGATCTTGATGCTCCTTTCGAATAAATATCAAGGGTTGGATTCTGGTGACATGATCGATGCTTGGCTGACATTTGACAAATATTCTCGCTCTCATCCATAATAATCTCATCATGTAGACTAGCCTACCCACACTGTATCTGCAAGCTGTTGGCTAGAGCGCACGTGCCAAGACCAGAGTAGGCACAGTTTGTGACAAAAAAAAGAGTTAAAAATGTGATGGAAACACATTGAACTTCAGATTTGTATTCAGTACATGAAGACTTGATCGAAAAAGTACATTTTGTGTGCACTATGTCATCACGCACTCATTTTGATACGCAACAAGTCCGTTTGGTGGAAATGCGCATATTTTTATTTATGCCAAAAAAATTATATTCACATGAAAATCTGTTGCCTATTGGATGGAAACCTAGCTAGTAATATGGTGACAATTCCACTTAGTGTATCAGAGGGCAAGAGGGAGTTACCAGGGTGTTGTTTACACCTACGCAATTCTCTCAAATCTACAAGTACCTAGACTGGGGTGTCAAACTCATTCCACGGAGGGCCGAGTGTCTGCAGGTTTTAGATTTTTCCTTTCAATGAAGACCTAGACAACCAGGTGAGGGGAGTTCCTTACTAATGTTACGTTCCCACAAGACAAACTAAAAAGTGTCGCTCACAACAAAGGGAACTAACAAAGAAAATCACTTTGACAACCAAAACAAAACCGAAAGGGGTACAAAAGGGCTTCTGAAACGGCACCCATGTGGATGCCCACTGAAAGTTGGCAAAGCCACTAGTAAGGGGTTCTAAAAGACACCCACCATGGATGCCCACTAGGTTTGCCTCCAAAAAGACGAACTAAAAGAAAATCCCACAACAACATAGGATAGGGAGTAAAAAGAATATGGAGCAAAACAAACAGTGGAAACACCAAAAATCTGGCTTCTTTCAAACTTAAACGGTTGAGCTCGAAACCGCACCACAACTGCCGTGAAGTGTAGCTCTCCCAACATCTCTCAAGCTCCACTGGAGTACTGGGCCAGCCACTCTTAAATATCACCTGGGCTAGCACATGTGTAACACATACTTACTAACGAGATGGACAAGCCAGCACATGTGTAACACATACTTACTAACGAGATGGACAAGCCAGCACAGGTGTAACACATACTTACTAACAAGATGGACAAGCCAGCACAGGTGTAACACATACTTACTAACGAGATGGACAAGCCAGCACAGGTGTAACACATACTTACTAACATGATGGTTAAGCCAGCACAGGTGTAACACATACTTACTAACATGATGGTTAAGCCAGCACAGGTGTAACACATACTTACTAACGAGATGGACAAGCTAGCACAGGTGTAACACATACTTACTAACGAGATGGACAAGCCAGCACAGGTGTAACACATACTTACTAACATGATGGTTAAGCCAGCACAGGTGTAACACATACTAACTAACATGATGGTTAAGCCAGCACAGGTGTAACACATACTTACTAACGAGATGGACAAGCCAGCACAGGTGTAACACATACTTACTAACATGATGGTTAAGCCAGCACAGGTGTAACACATACTTACTAACATGATGGTTAAGCCAGCACAGGTGTAACACATACTTACTAACATGATGGTTAAGCCAGCACAGGTGTAACACATACTTACTAACGAGATGGACAAGCCAGCACAGGTGTAACACATACTTACTAACGAGATGGACAAGCCAGCACATGTGTAACACATACTTACTAACGAGATGGACAAGCCAGCACAGGTGTAACACATACTTACTAACGAGATGGACAAGCCAGCACAGGTGTAACACATACTTACTAACGAGATGGACAAGCCAGCACAGGTGTAACACATTCTTACTAACGAGGTGACACCAATCAGTGCTCCCTACGCGCTAACGTGCTACCTTGAAATATAAATAGAAAAACCAATACCTGTAACACTAATTAGCGTGTCAAGTACAAGGGTGGAGCGAAAACCCGCAGACACTCGGCCCTCCGTGGAATGAGTTTGACACATATGACCTAGAAGGTAGGGTGGAAGGGTGTAGGGGTTGATTTGGGATTCAGAGTAACTCTCTTTTTAGTGGATGCTCCCTTTCCCTTGCTTGTCCAGCTATGTGGGTCAAAGCTTTAAATAGTCCCCAACTAAAAGCCAGTTGAAGTTCTTTATCTGTGTGTGAACCAACACTAAGCCTGGGAAGGTCAGTGAGAGTACACACTATCTATCACTTCAGAATGGATACAATTAGACTCCCCTAGTTGCTAAATGTGCTTTGATATCCGAATAATTAAGATTTAGCAAGCCTCCATTACTATACTCTACATGCTGTGTAGACGTCTGCCATTACGTCTAGTTATTTGTGTATTGTGTTGATTATTGCAGAGGCCTGTTACCTTGTGTGTTCATTTATGATTCATTGCTTTTCAGAGGTAATATATAATGAAGTTGAGCATGTTATCTGGACAGAATTGACATGCAGTTCTCACCATATGTATTTGGACAGTGAAGCTAATGTTTTTACATTTTGGCTCTATACTCCAGCATTTTGGATTTGAGATCAAGAGTACAGTGTCACCTTTTATTTGAGGGTATTTTCATAAATATCTGATTTACCGTTTAGAAATAAAAACACTTTATGTATCTAGTCCTCCCATTTGGAGACAGTAGTCAGAAGTTTATTTGGTCCCATATCACTATACCAAGCTTGCGGACCGTACAAACTTGTACTGTGACCTCATATTCATCATTTGGTCTCAAATCCCAAATGCTGGAGTGTAAAAATTATGAATTGTTAGTATTACAATTTTTTGCTTCACTGTTCAAATATGATGAGGACTGTATTACGCATAAAGAAAAAGGCCATACGTTACAGTATAATACGTTACAGTATAATACGTTACAGTATAATACGTTACAGTATAATACGTTACAGTATAATACGTTACAGTATAATATGTTACAGTATAATACGTTACAGTATAATACGTTACAGTATAATACGTTACAGTATAATACGTTACAGTATAATATGTTACAGTACAGTATAATACGTTACAGTATATACGTTACCAGTATAATCGTTACAGTATAATACGTTACAGTATAATACGTTACAGTATAATATGTTACAGTATAATATGTTACAGTATAATACGTTACGTATAATATGTTACAGTTATAATACGTTACAGTATAATACGTTACAGTATAATATGTTACAGTATAATACGTTACAGTATATACGTTACAGTATAATACGTTACAGTATAATACGTTACAGTATAATACGTTACAGTATAATACTGTTACAGTATAATATGTTACAGTATAATACGTTAC